ACTGGCTACACACACCCTTCAGAGTGAACAGGAACTCAGGGGTCTAGGTTTAATTTCAGCTCTGGCTCTGTCCCTTGCTTTTGAACAATAATGAGCAAACAGTAGCTCTTTTCTGAATCTGTTTCCTCGTCTTTAAAGTTGCAGTGGTACTACCTACCGACCACAGTTGCATGATCATGTACAGAAAGATCCGGATACACAGCTGGAGTATAAGCTGTGATACTGAAGCATTCATTCCTATTTTACACCTGTCCGCTCCAACCCCAGGACACTGCCCATCTTACACTACAGGCCTTAATTACCTTCAACCTCAAATCTGGGTGACATCTGCTTCTCCAGTTGCTGGTAGAGTTCAAGTCATCAAATAGGTACTCTGGGCATGAGAGAATGCCCACAGATATGGGCCACAGAAGAAACACAGAGTCCAAAGAAATGCTCTGGACGCTAGGCCAAGACTGCATCCTGCATCCTCAGAACATGCAGACATGCCCAACATGACTGACACATCTCTCTGTTTCCTAGTTGTCCTCTTCACTCCCTCCCAAAACCCTGACAATCCTATTTCCACACAGACACTCCTCTCCCAACCTCTCCAGACACAGGTCTCCTTTATGATGACTAGAAACACATAGTCAACAAATACAATCCCTAAACCCAGGCCCTTCTAAAGAAATATTTGTTAGTGCTAACAACACGGTGTCAAGGATTTGGCAACATCTTCTATCTGAACCAGAGTCAAGAATTAAAAAGTAATTTTACAAGTTCCTCCAGAGACTTAAAATAAACCCCCAAATCACACACTTCACTGGTATGTTGGCTACGACCACACAGTTACCCTGAATTGGAATCATGACAGTCCTTGGACCTTATCTGGATGTCATGCTTGAACTTCTTTGTATTTATTTATTCAGTCAGTGAATTTGTCCCTCACTGGTCCCTTTATCCTGTGCATTATCTTTAGCTTTAGGTAAACATTGCTCTACATAATTTTGAGAGACTTCTTCCTCCCTGAGTACTACTGTGCTAACACTCAGCTGTATTAAGGTGTGTTGCTGATTTCCCTTTATCTGGCTAACCATACAAGACTCCTCTGTGTGGGTATGCCACAGGGTCCTCCCCTCCTCTCCCAGTGACAGCATGAGGTACACATCTAGCTCTCTGCTACTGCAATGACTACTAAAGTAGAAGTCGAATAAAGACTTCCCCCTGCATCTCCCCTGTTGAAAACACACTCGTTTTTCAATGCCATTCCCAGCTTTGCTAACACTGGGCATTGGGGTCATTTCTCTCAGCAATTCGGACCTGTGTGCACTGCTGTCTCCTAATGATTTTTGTTTCTCATTTACTACGAGATTGAGAATCTTTGCATCTTTATGTAATTCAATGTTTTTTAATGTCCTTTTTGAAGAGTCTGCTGATTAAATCTGTGGTCCATTTTCCTAATAGTTACTTCTCTTTTTTTCTTATGGATTTGTAATATGTACTTTGTTCTTTATGTACTTTGTATAAGGCCTTATTGAATATATCTACTATAAATAACTGTGTCTTGCTTTCTTTCCAGTTCTGGGGACCAAACTTAGGGGTTCTCTGCTACTGAGTTACATCTCCAGCCCCCCTTTTTTTATTTTGAGACAGAGTCTTGCCAAATTGTTCGGGCTAGACTCATGCCTATGATCTTCCTGCCTCACCCTCCAAGAGTGTTGGGATGACAGGTGTTGCATAATGGTATCATTAAGGAAAAAAAGTATTTGTTTTTTAAAACAAAATTTTCTATGCCTAGAAGTGAAATGGTTGGCTCTAGCTCACTTGATAACGTGATCAATCCAAAGGACAGCTGGACATAGGCTAAACATAAAGAAAGGGATTAGGAAAGGAACAAAAAGTAAAAGACTAATTTTCAGGGTACAGTCAGCCCAGGAAGAACTTTGCTGCATGTGATTCAACAGCTATAGAAGACCCGGTGGATAGCGGTGTGTGTGTGCGCGCACACACACACACAAACACACACATCCACAGTGCTTTAAACTATATTTTACAAAGCCTTCCATTTAAAATGGTTACATTTTTCTGTTGTCATTCATAGGCTGTGCATCAGCCATTTAAAAATTCTCCTTCATCGAACTATTGATTTCCCAAAAAAAGCAGAGAAGGGAGGATCTGCCACCATCACTGCCATCTCAGGAAAATGAAGTTGAGGCCTGGATTAGGACCTTACAGAAAGGCTGTGAATGTTGCACAGGTCAGAACACACTTAGAACCAGGTGCAGGAATGCATGCCTATTACCCCAGCAATCTGAGGCAAAAGGATTGCAAGTTTAAGCCCAGACTGGGAAATTTAGCAACAAAAAGAGATCCTATCTCTAAACAAAAAAGGACTAGCAATGCAGCTCAGTGCAAAGGCCTTGGATTCAATCCACAGTACTGCAAAAAATTCTCAATATTGAGAATTGCTGAAAATTTCACCTCCAGTATCTAAAACATTGTCTTACATATAATAAGTGCTCAAGTGCACTGACTCATCATTTAACTGTAAACTATTTAGCCTTTATCTTTGAATCCACTCAGAGTGAAAAACAAAGAAAGAAGGACTTGTGGCAACAAAAAAAGATGTCTATTTTATCAAAGAGGGTGTGCAGATGACAAGCACATGAAATGAGACTCAATATTATTAGCCATTAGGGAAATGCAAATTAAAACCACAAAGAAATTACTACGCATTCATCAGGATAAAAATAATACACAGTAATGGCACCAAGCACTGGGGAGGGATGTTAGATGTTTCACACATTGCTGGGGAAAGCATATGTCTAACTGCCCTCTGGAGCAGGGCACAGGTAGAAATGTGGTTACCATTCAGCTGAACAATCTCACTCTTGAGCACTTATATCAGAGAAATGAAAATAAATTTGAACAAAACCTGTGCATGAGTTTTATAACAGCTTTGCTTACAATAACTCAAAACTGGAAATACCCCAAATGTCTTTCAATGTGTAAACAGTGAAACAAAATTCTGATTGATTTATACCATGAAACACTAGTCAGTCATCAAGAGAAATGTTACAATAGCAAGATTCAGACTATTCTCAAAGAATATTCTTAGTAGATTTGTTAAAGGAAACAAGGGTAGCTAACAGACATTACAACAATCCTTTGCTGGAGTTTTTTGAAATACGATGTTCTGTTTGGTGATTGTTGGTTCTGAACCTATTAACTGACAATTACTGTGTTAGAATCATCAGCCATAGGGAAATGGTACAACTTAGCACCTGTCCTCCATCCTGCTTGGTCTCACGGCTGGAGAGACAATGACGGAAAAGCAAGCAAGCCCAGTCTAGGATGAAATGTTCAGTGACGGAGGAGGAACAGACATCTGCCAGAGCATAAAGATGAGCATCTCCCCATTGGAGGAGGCGGATATAAGCAAGGTTTCTACACCCAGTTAAAGAAGCAGGAAGCTTGGAGATATGAGAGAGAGCAGGAAGCTTCCACAGCAGAGGAAGCAGTGTGTGCAAAGCCAGTTGGTTCACGGTCGATCTGAGAGGCTGCAGCCTGGGAAAGCAGGAAGCCAGGAGGCCAGGCCTTGGGGAGATGATAGTGAGGAAAGGCAAGGGCAGGAAAACTCTTAACATGTGGCCTGGAGGGCACAGACTTGGAGGTCAGCAGAATCAGCTACTGAATGGAGGCTCTCTAGAGCTGGTCTCTGCCCCATGCTCCATGCCGTTCCCTAAGCCTTCTTATTTCTGTAGCCCACCTGGGTGCAGGGACTGATTCCCTCCACCAGTATCACTCCTGTGTAAGTTAACTCCAGGCCTAGTCCCAACACCAAGTCTTTCTCCAGGAAGCCCCCTCAAAGCCTCACCCAAGGAATTATCTTCTCCCGGATAAGAGACCTGCACGTGCACCAAGCAGCAGCACATGCAGTGTGATGGGACAGCCTGGAAGCTGCACGGCCAGCCTGTCAGAGTCCCAATCCTGGTCTTGTCACTGACTGTGTATGACTGAGTTGCCTCATCAGCAAATGAGAACCGTAATATTGCTAGCTCAAAATGTTATTGAATAACATCACTAACACATTTCACTTTAGCACTCACTGGCACAAAGTAAGTGTTTAACAAATGTTACCCTGTGTTATATGGCATGACCCCCATACACAGTCAACACTGGCAAGATAGCAAGACTTCACACTCATCAGGGTGTGGGAGTAAATGTCTTCCCCTCACTGAAAGTCTTACTACAACTTCTTATTACAACATCATGCTCTCTGCTTAGACTGTTGTCAATACAGGCTAGAAATATCCTTTCTTCTCATAGGTATTTATGTGTGGTTGAGACCCCAAACCATGACATAGAAGGAGAAGGCTGTCTCGTAGCTCCACTGTCTGAAACTCTGGATGACGTAGGGCAAGTGCCTTCACCTTCAAGAAAGTCAGTATTCCCAGCTGCACAGTGGTAATGAATTGCTATCAGCCTCAAAAAGAAGAAGGGACCTGGAAGAGTGGCACTTGCCTGTCATTCCAGCCTGTTGAGAGACTGAAACAAGATGATCAAAGTTCCAGTCCAGCCTAGGAAACTTACTGACTTAGCAATAGGCTGTCTCAAAACAAAAAGTTGTAAAAAGATTGGGGATCTGACTCAGTGCCAAAGCCCTGAATTCAGCCTTTGGTGTGGAGAGACAGAGAGAAAGAGAGACAGAGAGACAGAGACAGACACTGACAGAATCAGAGACACTGAGACACAGAGAGGACTTCGCGGAGCACTGGAAGCCCTAATGCAACCGCGACTCCCATTTCCTTGTCCACAAGACACACACCTCCCTGCCCTCACTTTCACTTCCAGAAGCAGCACACTCACACTCTGCAGGCTAGCACATCCCACAGCCGGCTGCAGGGCTCCAGCGCCAGCAACAGGTATGTATTCATTGCCCCTCCCACACTGCCTAGATGAATTATTTTTCTCCTCCTCCAGGGACTTTCCTAACTTCCTTCTGTAAACGAAGGAAGGAGCACATAAATAGCCTGTATATAAATATGCTTGGGAAAGCTTTCTTCTCTTCTCCTTCTCCTTCTTCTTTTTTTCCCCCCTCTTTAACCAAACTTAGTTTCTGTTGTAGGCGGTGCATTCCCTCACAGGGCAGGGCCAGGGGGAGAGGGAAGGGGTGGAGAAGGCAGCTGATTACTCCCACTATGCAAGCTTCTCCCCCTATTTAATGGAGATCTCTCACAGGTCAGGTCAGAAGCACCTCCAGGACAGCACGAGCATGGCAGACTTGGAGCTGGGCTTTGGGGAAACAGCGAGCATGGAAATGCTGTCCAAGGAAAGCTGCGGCAGTGGTGGGCCCAAGGCCAGAGCCCGGCTGGGAGCCAGAAACAACGGCATGCGCTGCCTTCTCACCTGCTGCCTGGTGCTGCTCCCGGTCCTCACAGCACTCACAGCCTACCTGCTGGTCAGCCAGTTCTGGGCCCAAGGCGAGGACTGCGTGCAGCTCCAGCAGGTAAGCAGCTCCGCTCCAGCTGAGCATCCACCTCTTTTGGCTTTGCATCTGGCTCTGCTCAGTGCGTGTTTGCGGGGAATGACTTGTCCTTCCTCGTGGCGATAAGGGAATAACTTCAAGTTCCATATTTTTTAAAGAACTATAATCCTAGTGAACTGATGTGTTCATTATTTGGGAACACTCTTTCTCTTTAAAAAAATATTTAAATTACATAACTGACACATCATTGAAAAAAGAAGTCACAGATTAAGAAATGAAAATTATCACTAACATAAGCCTTTAAAGAGGGTGACTATTAACAATTTGGCATGTATACTTCCATATCAATTTTTATTGGATTTATTGGTACCATTTAATATATATAATGATCACATTCATTATAGGGAATTTGTACCTGTACATGATATATCTTGATTCCTCTTTTTGTTTCAATTCGCTCCCCCCTTCAATCTCTCTTCCCTTGCTTATTCAAAAGCTTTGTTGCCATGTTATCCTTCTTTTGTCATTTTAGTTTCCTAATATATTGTGATTTTATTTATACATTTATAAATTCACAGCAGTATGGTGATATGGGTGTGTGTGTGTATGTGCTATAATTTATTGAACCCATTTCCTTTCTTTGGCTTATAAATATTAACATTTCTTTTCTTTCAATATTTTTATTAATGCATCTTTGTAGCATATAATGATTACCTTCCTTGCGGTGAATTGGTGCATGTTCAGAATGCATCTTGATTCTTTCAGTAATGTTAGTTTTCAATAGTCGATAAAGAACCTTGTGTTTGATTGTCTAACTCTAAGATCTCACTGGACTGGGAAGAGATTAACCAAAAAGGAAGATAGAGCCCAGGGAAACCAATGGTGAGTGGGTTAAGGCTCTAGATATCAAGGAGAAGACTTACAACTTAGAAGTAGGAACTTCAGAAAAAGACCTAAAATAACAGTTAAGTAACTTTAAAACAAATGCTCCTGCATAATCCTGATTGAATTTCAGTCCAATATATTAAATTCCAAAGGAGAAAATAATTGGTTCCCTGGAGCAGCGGGACTGTAAGCAGTCCTGGCCAGCATCCAAGAAGAGGGACAGCAGGACTCATGGCCCCACTCGCACAAGGGGCAAACAGCTGCGGTCTTGGCCACTAGCCATTGCTCATAAACTGTAGAAATATGCACTCAACCAGGAAATGCTGCTGATGTGAGAAGTGAATCCACAGAACCACCTGGCAGCTGCTTCCCACAAAAAGCAGGTGGGCATGTGGGGATGCTATCCGTCTTCAGGCAGAAGGAGACGCCTGTTCTTGGCTGAGGCACCAAGTGACCTCCAGTATCCTGTGCATTCCTGGGTTCTAAAGGGAACCCCAATATTTAATGGGATCTCCAGGGTGATGTCTGAGGTTCCCCCCGGCCAGCAGAAGACAGTGAGGGTCTTTGTCCATTTAGAAAACCATGGAGCAATGCCAGTCTAAGGAAGGGAGGCATCATTGGACATGAAGTTTGAATGTCTATATGTCTGTTCCCACCCCTGCCCAACTCGAGTGCTTGAGGAATGAACAGGCTAATACTAGGCACCCTTTTGTAGGGAAAGCACCTTCCCCTGAGAGGATGTGTGGCAACATTTGGGACAGTCCTTAGTCCAGGCTCTGAGACTCTTAGTGCGTCAGAAAAGAAAGAAAGAGAAATAAGGGTGAAGCAGGGTCATGGTGAGCAATCAGGATCCTGAAAAGAAGCAGCTGGACGCTCAAGAAAAGAATGTAATGTGGAGAACACTTGAAGAAGAGAGGGAATGGGGTTGAAGAGTAGCTTGTTTGTGGAGATGCACAAACTGCAAGGCAGCGAAATGCTGGAAACATCTAGGGGTAGGAGCCAAAAGCCAGCTACCCACCATCCCTGGGCATAGGGGTTGATGCCATCTCTGAGGACCCCAGCAAGAACAGTAACCTAGGAGAGCCCTGCCTAGGAGCCAGGACACAAAGGAGCCAGGGGGCAATCCAGCCTAGAGGTCAGCCATGCCAGACAGAGCAGGGCCAGGAAGGCCAGAGAGCAGATCTGGAGGGATGTGCTAGTGTCGGGCAGGGACATTCAGAAAGGAAAACCAGATGAACATGGTCATGGTATGTGCCATGACCCCAGCACTCTGAGTGGCTCAGACAGCAGGAGCACAAATTTAAATCCAATCTGGGTAATTTAGTGATTTAGTAAAACTCAATCTCAAAATTAAAAATTTTATGAAGACCTAAGGATGTGGCTCAGCGTGAAGGCTTTGGTTTCCAGCCCAAAGCCTGGGAGTTGGAGCTGTTCATGTCCTCCAGAAAAGAAAGTAAGGGTCAGAGAGGTAGCTGCACATGTCCACATTACAAAATTATAATTTAAAAATCTTCCAGTTCAGAAATCATCTCCACAAAGACAGTAGAGAAATCAAATGCTTTTGCTGTTGAATAAATTTTAAGCCAAGATGTGATATGCAACACAGATTATCTGCTAGGCCATTGAAAAGACAGGAAGAAATCACCTTTTTATGCAGGCAAATAGACCACTCGTTATACACAAGTTGAGCAAAGACAGGCAACTATATCACAGCACATATTAGGAGACACACTTCATTCTATGAAAGAATTTGCATATATGAATGAGTTTCCAGAGGCATAGAAATGTCAGAAATTGGAAACTCTTGCTATTGACTAGTAGAAGAACTGAGGGACTAGACCTCAAGGGAAACAGGGGACACATTTATAAAAATGTGCTCTCTTCTACCAAAATGTATGTGTAACATACAAAAAACACAAACTTGGTCAAATATTCTCACATCTTTATGGAGGGTGTTAAGTAAATTTTTGTCTTGGAAAGATCATGATCAAAAGCTCATTTTTGTGCTGAATTCAGGCCTGGCCCCTGCTTAACATGTTGCCTAACCTTGGTTTCTTTACATGTCAAATGGGGATGATTAGAAATAAAGTATTTAAGACATCTGGCAGAGGAGAGAGAATTTGTAGATGGTAGCAATTATCATCATCACAACCAGGAACTTCCTTACTCGAGGAAGTTATGTCATGGCAGCTTCACCTGCTCTGGAATCTTCCATCACCAAGTCAGAGGGCGGGTTTGGATGATGTAGGTGATTATTTTTGGTCTCTGATATTTCCAAGCTGTCTCCTCTCTCCCTTCACCACCCAGTCCTGCCCCACTACTACTCCCCACCCCCAAGCTATTTTTTACCTGATGCACTTCACCATCTTTGGGCTCCTCAGTGACTTCCACTGGCCCTGATGTGGAACCATAGGCTCCACTTTCCCACAGGAGCTCTGAAGTGAGACCCCCACTTTCCTAGAGCATGGTTCTGGCTTCCCAGACACAGTGACATTGTGGCTCCCAGCCTGGCACACCATGGGCACACCATGGACACCTAGTCCCGTGTAGTGAATTTCTGGGGATGGTTTTAGAGGGTCCCTTACCTAGAGCTGTACCACTGCCATCTCTTTCCCTTTAAGGTCCTATTTCTAGAAAGACTGTCATACATGCTCTCCGCATTCTCCTTGGTTCCCTCCTATCTCACTTCTACCCTTCCCTAAAACCCCCTGCAGAGCCTTTGTTCCCTGAGCTCCTCTTACTCCACAGTGTGTATTAGCTGCCTTCCCCCCATCTCTACCTAGACAAACTCCCCATGGAGATGCAGTGCAGGCTTCAGAGTCACACAGACTTGAGGAAAGTCACAGCTTCACACAGCTATGGCCTCCTAATCACTTATTATATAGCAGATACCACACTCATCTCTTCCATATCAAGGGCTTTGAAAAATCACATCTATCAATTGCTTAGTATGACATCTGGCATATAACAATATGTAACACATGTTTGCTCTTTTTCCTACCCACATCATCTCAGTTAACCCTCAAAATTAAACAATAAGTAAGTGCTACAGTTGTCTCCACTTTAGAGATAATGAAACTGAATTTAGAGAAATTTATCAGTGTGCTCAAAGTCATACAGGTAAGGAATGTGATGTTGAGATTCATTCCTCCTAATCACTGTACTTGTCTGCCTTGGGGTGATCAGGAAGATTTAACCTTGAAAAGCCTACATATAGTAGGTACTCAGTAAACGCTAATACTCTTTTCCCTCCAAGGGCAACTTGCTATGCCTGGCACACAGAAAGCACTCACGAAGTGTTTTCTGGATGCAGAGAAACTTGAGCCTTAGACTCACTCAGAGAAACCTGAGCCTTAGACTCACTGACCCTAGAAGAGGGAGCTCAATGAACTTTATTTATGTGCTGCTGGAAGAATCTTGCAAGGCATCCAGAGACCTGCTGCCATAGGGCAGATGCTCAGCAGACCCGGTCTCCTGGCCTTCTGTACTTGGAATGATCTTTTTTTATCTCTCTCAAGCTGTTTTCTTGTGGGGGAAGAAAATAATAATGAAAAATCCTTTTCAGTGCCCTCTGAAAGAAATAGACTGTTGAGATAAAAGTACAGTCCGACTCCCAAGGAATTGATTCTTCCATAAAGTGGCCCTGTTATAGCCTGAGGAAGCCCCAGAACAACTAGAAGGGAAGCCAACTTGTTGAGAGCAAAGGGCAGCTGTGAGCAGAGGGCGGGGAAGCCAGAGTCAGGTAGCAAAGGCACACTGTGGAGTATAAAGGAAGAAAGGAGAGCCAGCTGGGGGACAAACCCCAGACATGCCCAGCGGCTCCTTAACCAACCCAGACAACAGCAGCAAATATAAGCAACAGATTTGAAATGAGGTGGAAGCAGACCAATACCTGTTCCCTAATCACTTTTTCACCCTGGAAAAGGAAGAGATGAAAAGCAAACTATGGCCTTAGGAAATCTATGGAATGTCTGTTTTTGGGGGAAAGAGGGAAGTCTCCAAATCTCCTAAAAGATCTTAAATACTGCTGTTTGTCATGAGAGATACAAAGGTTCTTCTATTTACAACTGAAGTTATAAGACCAAAGAAAGGAGTGTATAGAACCAGCGATACATACCATATGCATTTATGGTGCCCCAAAATAGAAGGCAATTGAATTAAATACTTGCTATATGGATTTGATCTTTCTGAGCCAGCTCGGGAGTCATGAGAGCAGAGAATTATCATGGGCTCTTATTGATGAGGAAACAGAGTCACAAAGTTTAGCTGACATCTACAAATCAGGCTACCAGGAAGTAGTGGAGACAGGATATTCAAATTTGCTAGGCTGCAAACATCAGCATCTTTACTCTGTGCCATACTGTCCAGGGACCCTGGGAGGAGGGTGAAATGAAATGATCTCTAAATATATTTCCAGATTGAATTTATGCTTGTGAGTGAATGAAAATGGAGAAGCCCAAGGTAATGACAAAGAAGCAAATATCAACATATGTCACCTAGAAGTGCAGGAGGATGTTATGGATTATAAAATATTTATGCTTTTGCAACTTTAGCATTTATGACAACAAGAATTGAATATATCTTCCTGTTCACGTATCCATGAACATAAAGGGAGTGGCTACAGAATATGGAAAGAAAGGGGCTGGGGGTTTAGCTCAGCGGCATAAGCACCTGCCTTGCAAGTAGGTGGTCGTGAGTTTGATCCCCGGTACCAATAAAAAAATGAAAAAGACAAAAAAAATATATGCTTAAGTGGTCTGGGAAGATGCCAGGATGTCTTCAAGATCATCTCATTGCAAACTCATTCATTTGCTGTTTCTTGCTAATGTTTATGAAGCTCCTGAAATGCACCAGGATCTGTACGTGGTCCAAAGGTTCAGATCCTAGGTCCCCTGTTTATCTTTGACTTTGAGAAGGTGCCTAACCTCTTTGAGACCCTGTTACAAAGCGCTGTTCAGACTATGAAAAGGTGCTGCTGATCCCCCTCAAAGCGCACAACCACTGACCCCCATTGGACATAGCAGAAGTTTGAAACAGAGATCACACATCACAGTTCAGTACAAGGCTTAGCACATGGGAAGTACTCAACTGAACAGCTGCTGCCTCCTTCCCAGTTTGAAGGACTGAGTAATTCCACAAATGACTGTAGTAATACGCATGGTCCATTTGAGTCATGGCCTAGCAGTCAACATAAAAAAGAAAGAAAATCAAGTAACAGTGAAAGTTCCTTGACCCATAGGAAAAGTGAGGAGCTGGGGAATAGGATGCCCCACTTTGTGTTGCCAGAGCACACACCAGTGATCAAGGCATCCCCCCACCCGGATGGATGTACACCCATGGGCACCCACACTGCCTCTTCTGACTTTGGCTTCTGGCCTAGTCTTACAACTCTCAGTAAACACCCATGGCTATGTTCCATACAAGGCCTGATGAAGGCCTTTGAAAACTCTAAGACTAAAAGATTATGTTCACCTATTCTATGTACTTAAAATATTTTCATATAAAAATTCTCTTTCCTACATTTCTGGATTAATTCCCTTTAAAACCTCCACCTTCAGTTTTCTGCATTAGCAAAGGGCCAGTTCCTTTGTCAGCTCTAGGAACAGCAAGTCAGGCAACAGACCAGAGAGTAAGCTCATGTGAGGGCTGCATCTCCACCCCTTAAGTATCCCTTTCTCCACCCCAAAGTCATTGACGTAAGTGTAGATATTTCAAAGGCCACTGTACTTATTGCCCCTGTGCTAAGTCACATAATGTACTCATTTGGTAGCAGAAAGTCTTGGTTTTCTAGGTGTCTTCATGTTCTGTTGGGCCTCCTCACACTTGCACAAGCTATTGACCTTGTCTGGAATAGCCATTACCTCTTTTATCACCTGGCTAATATCTGCAGGAACTAATAGCCATTACCTCTTTATCACCTGGCTAATCTCTGCAGGAAATGTAAGGTTCACTTCAGGGTAATTACCCTGGATTCTCCCACATCTGGGCCAGGTTTCTGTTTTTTGAACTTTGGGCTTGCTGTCACCATGCATGGAATTGCTGGTACTTAGCTTCTGAGGAGCTTGACCAGAAGTTGGAGGATGCCAGGGGATGCAAGGGCTACTTTGTAGCCATCTGGCCTGAGTTAAAATCCTACACCTCCACTTTTCAAGTATAGGATTGCACCTGGTTGTTTACCCATTCTGGCCTCTATTGTCAGTATGGAAATATGAATAATATCACACCTTTTGTATGGTCCCTAAGCTGAAGGAGGTGATGCCTGTGAAGGGCTTAGCATAACACAGTGTCACTGGTCATTCACTAAATAAGCTACACTTTCTGCATCTGTGAGTCACGCATTGAGTCATGCATGTGGCTACTGTCATGAGTAGCAACACAGAGGCTCCAAGAGGAGTAAATAGTGGGTAACAAAACTGAGGAGGTAAATCGGGACTTTCAATGTCAAGACAAGATAAAACTACATTATGAGCAGAACTGTGTCTTGAAAAAGTGATGCTTCCAAAAAAGCACTCAGAAGCAGGCAGGAGATGGATGAGAGAAAGGGAGGGAGCAGATTGCATGGAGACCTGTTGGAAGTTGTTAGCAAAATCCAGGAAAGCAGCAAGCAAGGTCCGCAGTGGATGCATATATGAGAGAGATATCAAACAGAAATTACAGACTGAGAGTTTGTGGAAGAAGAAAGGTCTGAGATCCAAAGGGAAGCTAGAGAGATGGCAGTGACAGACTTATGAAGCACATGGAAAAGAGCTGGAGAAACATTGGCTTCACAATTAATCATTCAGAAACAAGACTTGATTCACACCCAAAAGAGCTTCCAGCAAAGGTCAAGTAAGGAAGCCTGAGAGCAAAAAGAGCATGAGGTGTGGATGCAACAAGATCATGTTATCACAGACCTGCTCCGGGAGCTGGGCTCAATGGGGACATACAAGTCACATCCACACTACCACACAGAGACATCCATGCACACAACACCACATAGACACGGATACAGCTTATACCCTTTCCTGCTGAGAAAGTCTGTTCCCTCACCTTTACACAAACACACAGTCCCACTCATAAACACAGAGCTCACGCATATTATAAGATGTAAAATAGATCAATGTTCATGGTAACAGGAGGGTCTCCCGTTAGCAGGGGCTTTGCAGTTACAACAACCAACTCTGAAGCCTGGATTGAGTCAAAATCATATTAGAGAAAGGATTCTTACAAAATCCTTGTAAAATGTAAGTAGGTGATATTATGCCTAAGGCAAGATCATGGGTTTTTTTCCCCAAGCTTCATGAATTGTGATTCTCTCCTTTTCCAAGTGTTACTGGCACTGACTCATCAATTTTCTGATTTAACCCTACAAATCATTTAAGGTGAGGAATAATATTTCCCATTTTATAAATGGGGACACCAAAGCTCAGAGAGAAGCATCGTTCTCAAAATGATATGGCTCATAAAAAATAGAACCACAGTTCGGTGAGGGTCTGTCTGCCACCAAGCAGGTACTCTTTTGTTACATGGTGTCTGAAAGGTCTATCCAGCTTGGATTACAGGAATGACTCTTCCCTCACATACTCAACTCACAGAAATGGGGCAGAATTGTGGTGACGTTGATAATAAGGAGAACATGGTCATTCTTTCTTCTTCTCTATTATTTTTCAAGAGTAATTCTAATTTTTAAACTTTCATGGCAAAAAGAAAATAAAGCAGGTACCATTATTTCTTCAAATAAGCAATGACAAGACAACAAGGTCTCCTAGAATAGAAGAGGAAATGTACTGACGACAGAACTCTGAAGCTCAGATTCAGACACAAGCATCAGAGGAAGTCTGGGAGGGGAGTCCTAGCAGAGGGACTTAGAGAGTTGAGGCAGATTCTCATCAACCAAACTATTCTCATGCTGCTTTCCTCATGGCAGGGGACTCAGGCTGGAGCAGCAGCATCTTAATCTTATCACCTTATAAGCGGCTGGGTAGATGTTGGGAGGTGCCGGTGGTCTAAATTATGTCTTTTTTTTTCCTCAACAGACTATAAATGAACAGAGATTCGGACCTTCGTATCAGCGAGTTTGTAAGTGTATTTATCTTTGATGCTTTTATTATGAGGAACAAGAGCACTTCTAACAGTTGTAGTATGTGGGAGTTTTGGAGATGGGCCTTCACATCACTCAAGCTGAGGAGCATAGTTAGAGGAAGACTTGAACTTGCCCCTCATCACAAAGAAAGTAAAATGAGGCCATGGCCAAGTACATGGCCCAGGAGCTGATGTTCTAGAAGTCATTAGCAATAGGACCTCTGGGCAAACGATGTTATGTGTCTCTGTCTCCCATTAGTCACCTCTACAGAGCATTACAGTAACACTTCCTTGATAGAGTCAGTGTGAATTAAATTAGCTATTTCCAATGAAGGAATAAGAACAAAGCCTAACACATCAAAGGTACACAATGCATTTTGTTTTCTTAAATGAATTATTAACGATCAACATCATCTTCACTGCAGTTAGAACATGCTTAGTTCCATATAGTCATCTTTGAGAACCAAAGGGAAATTCTAAGGTATTTCAGCAGGGGAAAAGGGGTGCAGGACCTGTCAAGTTCATACAGCTGCAGAATGAACTTAGCACTCCCACTTTCCCCTACTTCTTGGTAAATGTAGTTAAAGGGATCAGGAGGAAGACAAGGGCCAATTCTCTCTCATGGGAATCCTAACATGGGAATAGCTTGCCCAAAGGAAAGCAAGCTGTGCCTCACTGAGCCCTGACCATGTACCAGAGCCTGTTGCGCACTCTTCAGCCACACTGAGATTGCTGTGCCCATCGTAGAGATGAGAAAACAGACATAGTTTGCCCCAAGTCAGGGTCCAAGACTCTTATCTATTCAACTGAACAGATAGATGTCTTTCTTTGGAGTCATCCCTGTGCCCAGTGGTGCTTACTACACGCACACGTACCAACCTGAACCCCAAAAGGGGTGAAACTAGACCAAACTGGAGGAGATTAATGTTTGCCTCCCATCACAGGTGCAGGGCAACTACCAAAGTCCTGCCTTCACTCCAGCCACCCTTGACTCATGCAAGCTCATTTCTCCTTTCTTACAGACACACCACTCAGAGATGACAGAGACAAACCGAGGGCACACCTGACAGGTAAGCGTCTCTGTGTTTTTCAGATGACCATTGGCCATGGTCCTGAAGTTTCTTTCCACACATTAACCAGAAATGGTAATTTAGAACTGGTAGTGAAAAAACCACCGCCCTTGGTGACAGACTTCTCTCAGTCAATGGCTTTCAAAAGCCTTCCTCCTCTATATCTTGTGGACTCTTTCTTTCCAGTTCTGTCAGCCTTCTCTATTTCTTTCCTGTCTCTCTCTCATGCATTCTCACACCCATTCAGAAATGATTTCTCTCAACCTATGAACTTCAGGTAATTCTGGATCTGGTCACAGATGTAAAGACTCCTGTGTTTCCAATTTATTTGGTCCATATGGGCCCAAATCAAGATGCTGTCACTGAGCATTTGCTTTCAGGAAGGTGATTCTAAAGAATTTCCAGATATTAAGAGGATCTTTCAATGTGAAGATATTAAGAGGATCTGTCAATGTCACCAGTTTCCTAGGGTTTATGCGGAAATTCCAGGTGTCTAACACCTGATACTCCAAACAGCAGAGCAAGATGAGGCAGAAACGTGTGTGTCTAAAACTCACTGAGAAACTAGAGAGTTTCAAAGCATGCAGGAGAATACCCGTGGGGTCCAACACATTTGTATTTGTATCTGACCAAGAAACAATTGTTTGAATTGTTTACAATGAGTTCTGAGTCGACTTTAAGACCAGGGGGTTACCACGCTATAATCACTTCCTCTTGTCTAAAATGGGAGAAGCATCACAGGACAGGGAGGAAAATCCTGAAAACTGCCTGAGTATGGAGATGTCACGTCTCTTCCTAAGAACAAGAGACAGAAACTGAGGATGACTCCATCTGCTACTGAGGCCTCAATGGTGTCGAACACTGTAGCAGGCATTTTGCTTCTATCATACCATGAAAATTTGCATATCAGGCCAATGAAATAAGAGTAGTTGTTCCCATTCACACATGGGGAAACTGAGGTTTGGGTAACTAAATCTGTGTCCCAACTCAGATGATTAGGTGGTGTAAGAGTTTGAGTTTGCCTCTTGGAAACTACTGTTTTCATTGCAACATAACTTCCTGTGTGTGTACCTGCTTTCTTCCCTGTTGACGTAACTGCACACCAGTTCAATAGAGCTGGCCCTATTTAGAAATGTGAATTTTGGTTTTGGATAATTTAAGGAACTCTTAAAAATTATTTCATCGTCAGAGGAGATTAATAAAAATTCCTTGTATGCATTTGCAAAATGCACCAAAACTTTCCAGGGGTCACTTTGTATGGAGGCCAAAAGAGTCTACACACAGCTGGGACAAGTGCCACCATTTGCAAAAGAAACCCTGCTCCAGCCAGAAATGGGACAGACACTGTGGAAAATCCAGGAATTCAATTTCAGGTCACTTACTGGGGGTGCAGGTTGCCAGATGGTTTTTTAAGTCAGAATCTATCCCAATACTGTGGTGTGGGCACATCACACAGATGACTGTGGGTTTCAAAAGTAGTTATAGAAAATCAGCTTGTTTTTCCTTCTCCTGAAAAGCATTCATTTTATTGCAGTTTGTCTTATTTGAATTTAATGACTTGAATCAAGTTTGATTATATTCATTTTCTTCTGCTAAGACATATTTCATAAAAGCATTCATTAATATTTTCTATATAAGATATGTTCACGAGTATGCAAATATAAGAACAGAGAAAGAGACATAAAATGAAATAGGCTTATTTTTTTAATGTGTCAAAATGAAAGATGATGATTTATTTTGGGGGAAAATTGAATACATTTATATCCAGCCATTGTAATAAAAATCTTCATGTCTGTTCCATTCACTTTATTTTGGGAGTAAGACTCTGAAACAGCTTCATTCCCAGCTTACAGACAGAAGACTGAGGTTCAGAAAAGAGAATTAACCTACACAGTTGCAGAATCAGAGTTGGTAGTGGGCCCAAGCAGCCTACAGCCGAGATCCTTCCCCCCACTGCACTGAGTGAGGTACACAGTATTTTGGCCCTGTGACTGTGGAGGAAGAATTTCCAAAATGTTTTAAGACTATTCTTCCAACATGTCTTGCCAGATAATTCTTTATTAATCACAGCATGTGTTTGGATCACAGCATTGGAATGCACTGACAGGGAACATCTAACTTCCTCTGAAATGTCCTCTTTGGTGCATAGTATGTCTGAAACCAGAAGGCGAGTAAAAGTGAATGCCGATTAGAGGCTATTCCTAATAGCCAGGGATTTGACTACATCACAAGCTGTCATCCCTTCCACAAGAATTATTATCTCTGTTTTTTTTTAATTAAAGTGTATTAATTGGGTCCTAGAAGATGGAGAGAGACTTCACCAAGTTTTGGTCAAAGAGCATTTTGTTCCAGTTGGCCAGTGAGGACGAAGCAGTCAGGCCCATCATACTGCATTGGCACAAAATACCCAACACTTGCAATATGAAAGAGGAGAGGTTTCATTTGACACACAAAGAATTCAATCCACAGTCATTAGTCTCCAAAGCAAAGACATCATGGCAGAAAGGTGTGGTAGATCTGCTTAGTTAATAGTGGCCAGGAAGCAGAAGAGGGAAACAGTGTCAGAGTAGAACAGGCAGGGAACCAAAGCCACACTTCCATGACCCAGCTAGACACACCTAGAAGTGTGCTCCACCAGTTTCTAGGAGGGATCCCAAAGCCAGCCAAACAGAACTGCGCACAAATGCCACACCCAGATGTATCAAATAAAAAACATCACAGACTTAGTAAGGAAAGACCCTATGCAGAAAGATTATTGCCAGAAGGAGGGGAGGGCAGAGGACAAAAGAGATTATACTCATCTTGGTACCTATAGGGCATTGGTTTCAGGGCCCCTGCAGACACTCACACCTAGAACATTCAAATCTTTTAAGTAAGATGACAGTATTTACATTAACTGACCTGCATCTTCCCTTATACTTTAAGTCACAGTAGATGATGTTTACTACCTAATGAAGTAGAAATGCCATAAAAATGGTTTTTATCCTGTATTGTTTAGGAATCCATGAAAAGAAAAATGTCTATACACTCTCGGTACAGACATACATTTGGGCCAGTATTTCCAATCCTCAGCTTGTTGAGTCTGTAAATGTGGAAACAAGGATAAGGAGAGTAAGCTGTACTGTGACAGGGAGGAGACTACAGCACTAGGAAGAACACTCTGAAACTAAAGTCAGCCCACTCTCAAAAGATAGGTTAAAAGGTTTTTCATATGTATAGTGAGAACAGCAAACAAAGCTAGAAAGTACGAAGTGTGGGGACATGCAATGAAAGGTGACATGATTGAGTCAGAGGTTTGACTCTGAGGCCAGCCTAGTCTAGGGGGCGCGGCTGTAGGTAGCTCAGTCTGAGGGTAGGACAAAGTTCAGGGCCTGAAGAAGAAGAGAGGCTTCACATTTTGGTCAACAAGCATCTTGCTCCAATTGGCCAGTGAGGATAAAACAGTCAGGCTCATCATGCATGCAGTGAAGCATGGGACCTTGTGGCATCTGACCTTGTCATCAGTAAACAAAGGGGGTACCCATGAACTCATCTGTTGTGTAGATAAATCACTCTTCATTAAGTGGTTTCCAGAACATGGAGGCCTGAGTGAAGGAATCCTTAACTTTTACTCTTTCCAGGATCACAGGACTCAGATAAAATTTGAAGCTGTCAGATCAGAAAGTTCAGCCTCAGAGAGGCAAAGTGATTTCCCCTGGACACCTGCATGAGATATCTTGCGTTCTCTTCAAACAAACATGCTCATCTCCTCCCACACAAGCCTGCACATACCCACCCCAGATTCCTCCCCAAGCACCTGTTAGCTGTTGGTCATGTTTAATCCTTTTACTCTTCTTTGAGATTAGCACAAGACTTTTTTTTTTTTAACAAAGTCCAAAGATTCTAACCTGAGCTTACTGGATCTGTCTCTTGCATTTGCAGTTGTGAGACAAACTCCTACACAGCACCTGAAAAATCAGTTCCCAGCTCTGCACTGGGAACATGAACTAGGTTTGGCCTTCACCAAGAACCGGATGAACTACACCAACAAATTCCTGGTCATCCCAGAGACAGGAGACTACTTTGTTTACTCCCAGATCACATTCCGCGGGACCACCTCTGAGTGTGGTATCAGTCCAGGGAGACAACAGAACAAGCCAGACTCCATCTTCGTGGTCATTACCAAGGTAACAGACAGCTACCCCGAGCCCTCCCAGCTGCTCACAGGGACCAAGTCAGTGTGTGAGATAAGCAGCAATTGGTTCCAGCCTCTGTACCTTGGGGCCATGTTCTCCTTGCAAGAAGGTGACAAGCTGATGGTGAATGTCAGTGATATCTCTTTGGTGGATTACACAAAAGAAGACAAAACCTTCTTTGGAGCCTTTTTGCTATAAGGGGAAATCAGAAATTACTGCATGAAGGAGCCATGCCTCCTGGTTTCCAATTTTCTTCATTCATGTATAAGTTATAACCATGGATTTTCTGGGTCAGCGATAGAAGATTTAGCTATGAAATTTATGGTCTTTAAATTTGCACTGTATATGCCTTCCTAATGAGAATTCTAATTGGGGGAAAAAAGCAGAAGAGAAGAGCTAGAGGACTGTGGTTGCTTGGAGGAGTTTTGAGTTTCTGAACATTGACTATCAAATGACTGTATGGTTTAATCGGGTCTGGATTTAAAGAATATTCCCACACCTTCGTCTTCCACTCTTGTCACCAATAGGTCCAGTTATTGTTCAACTTGATCATAAATTTGCTTCAGTTCAGAACCTTCAGACAACATGCAAAGAAAATCCAAGAAAATAGTATAAACCTAGAGGCAAATATCTTTTATCAGTATTTCCATGTACTTTCATGCCTAGCCTAAAAAAAATGAAAATCACTGATGTTTTTCATGAATCTTCTCCAAAAAGGAGTTGGTTTTCATGCCACGTATTGACAAGGAGAAAAGCTGCCTATCCTTCAGTTATGCACACAGGTGTCAAAATAAGTGAGAGTCCCACATGCATTATCAAAAACACAGCATCAGCACACCTTTCTTGGGTACTTATTCTGGATTCTAATTGTACCTAGAGGACACTTGGAAGAGCAAAGACAGGTTCCAGACAAAGGTTCTATAAAAACTACGGATGCTTCCTAGTTCAACATCAGTCAACTTATGCCAAAGAATAACTTATAAGTCTGAAAACTGTTATCACCTGAAACTGTTATTTCTGGCACTGTCCTGGGAAAACTGTTCAGTGGGTCACTCAGAAAACTTGATCAAAAATTTCTAGTGAAGTAGAACAACTGTCAACAAGCCACAAATATATTCTTTGGGAAAGAAAAAGATATAAAACATCTAATCTGGAGAAGTTTCCATAGTCTGCTTTGAGGTTTGATTTGCACCTTTATATGCTGAGTGTTATGCAGGTACATTTCCCTTAAAATAGTCAAAAGGATATGAATGTGAAATTCGCTTATCAAACCAGCCAATTCTTGTTATGCGAAGAGAGGCTGGATATTCTGTGCTGTAGTGGGCTCACGTCTTCTAGCCAGAGAGATTTTCCTGCACTGCTGTATCAAGGGCAGGAGGGCTGGTTCTGCTCTCCTTACCCTGTGTTGACCTATTTGTAAAGGTCAAGAATCCAACCATTTGTTTCCCAAGGCCAAATGAGTTCATTGGAATGAAACAGGTTAACTCTCTGCATTCTGTGTAGTCAGAACAGTTCCGTGTAACCTAGCCAGGTACCTCCAGCCCTTGGGCTCTATCATAAATACTCTAGCATGGGAGACCTTACAGGTAGATCCAAGGGCAAACTTGGCCCTGAAATCACACTTCCTCTGGTTGCCAGAAAACTACAAAAACAGAGAGACATGTGATGTGACTCCTGAACAGAGTGACTGGTTGAGGAGCAGGCCTTGATCAATACTTGTTGACTCTCAATTAATACAAATTAATTTTGAGTTCCTTCGTTGAACGGGTGAAGCTCAGTGTATTTTCTAACCTCTGCTAGAGTCAGGCCTCCTCCTTGCCTTCAGTTTCCCAAAACAGCACAGCATTGACTGAGCGCCCAAGAGAAGGTGCGGTTACCTCCCCTGGCTGTCCCAGAGTCTTCAGAAAGGAAGTGAAGCCTGAAAGAAGGTGAAGCCCCAAGATGACCAGAGAGAGAGAATATCTCAAAGGAGGAATTACCCATTGTTTAAAGCAGAAAGGAGAAGCTTCTCATTAACTCCAAAACTACCTAGACAGGAAAATGCTTCCTCAACCCACCCTGAGCAAAATATTTACTGGTAGATTCAGAATGCTTCATCATTCTCTAGACTGCTCCAAGATCAGAATTAACATTCCATTAAGAAAGTTCGAATGGCCTGACTCCATTTGTCTCCTGGGTGCATGAGAACATCAAGCAACTCAGAATTTCATAAAAGAAATTCCACCAAAGAGGCCACAATAACTGTTCGCCATCTCCACTGAAAGGAAGTTATTCCAATGGCTTTCAAACCTGCCCACATGGGATCTAGGGGATTTGGAACACAGAACGCGCAAGTTTTCCTATATCCTAAGCCACTTAAGGCTTTGGGAAAATCCTTCTGGCATCTTTATTTGTTGAAAAATGTAGCTCAAGTTTTTACTGTTGGTTTTTTAAAATTTTAAGTGAGATGTCTTACTCTATGGAGAAAGCTCCAACCAAATATTCCTAAAAGGACGCAAGTCAGAGCTCCGAGGCAGTTATTTCCATAGTAATCATTAATGCACTGTTTTTAAAAGGTGGAAAAATGCATTTTAAGAACATGTGATGACTTGCTAAAAGGGGCTAATGAAATGTATTCAAGAATTTGGGAAAGAGCTTAGAAAATAGCTCACTTAGAGGGAGGAATGCTTTGCTGGTTAAATGTCTCTCAAAAAGCTAACCTCAAATCAATTCCAAAAACATTCACTGACTACTTACTTAATCGCCCTGTAAATTATTTTTAACACAGAAGTAAATTATTTCAGTACAGGCATATTACTCTAACATCTCCATTATCTGCAGAGTTTGTAATTTATTATGTTTATATTAGTTGATCTATTAGCTAACTTTAGGCACAGGGATATTCTATTATTGTGAAAATGAGTGTCACTTGATGGGAGTGTTATTAACAAAGTGATGTGTATTTACTCTAATTTTTTTTTTAAATAGCTACTTACGAACAGTTTTTCCTAAGTATAGAAAGGAAAGAAAAAAGACACAATCATATGGTGGAACCCACCCTTTAAAACTACATGAAAGGCTGTCGCTAGTCTCAAGTCTGGTATTCAACACTTTTGAAAACACTAGAACTTTTAGAGTGACCAAGATGCCTTGAAAAGTTTGTGCTCCTCACCAGCACAAAAAATTGTCAAAATTCTTGGGTCACTGGCATTTTGACCTTAACAGGGTTTAAATCTGTGTGGGAAAGCAGAATTGATAGGTTACTAAAATTTCTAATTTTTCTATTAAAGTATAACAGGAAAGAAAAGTGTATATTTTCATTTCCTGAAACATCTCAGGTTCAGTTCAGTAACAGGGCATTCCAGAATCCTTGGCTTCATTTCAGTCACTCAGGAGGAAATTCCAACTCTGTGCTTCTCAATAATCCCTCAGAATGATATTCAGCTAGCTCACTATGCACAAGGGGTGGCTGCTGCCAACATTCTCTTGCAAGGTATTTTCCTCAAGTGCTTACTCAACCCTCTTTCCATGATTGTGACATTGAGGATTAATTTTTAGGATGGGCCTGTTTACATTCCGTGTTTTGCAAAACATATACAGATGTCTTTTTGCCTCCAGATTTCCTGCACTTTTAGAGCCACGGTGCTGGAATTGCTTTTTATTTTCAGCAGAATTTTCTTTAAATGCACATTATTATTCTGGATATTAATGCCATTATATCATATTGGACATTAACCCTTTGAAAAATTCAGTGAACCATTAACTCTAGGAACAGTTTGCACCAGTGGTAAGATTGGAAGTCAGTACAACCACATTCATGCCTGGCCCCACTAAAATCCCCATTTTACAGCTCCCCAAGCTCTAAGATTCACTTGCTCCTGCCTCTTCCATCATCTTTCTTTCAAGAAGAAAATGCTACTTGAGTTTGAATAGAAGCTACTTGTCCCCAACCATACAGTAAGTTAATGGCAGATCTAGAGCTGGAATTCTGTCTTCCTGATTCGTAATTTCAGACTAGTTAAATTCCTGTCTACTCTTGGCAAATACTATCCAGTGTAATGACTGAAGGGAAAAACCGAAGAAAAGCAGAAATATCCTCCATGGGTCAATAGAGAAGCAGGGAATGGATGTTGCCCATGTGTCCCCAGAGGAAAGAGCTGGGAATGAAAAGAGTTGGTTCTAGAACAAGCCTCCTGGCCTCATGTTTTTTCCACCAAGTAGAAGCTTTTCAGGTAGTGATTTCTCCCACTCAAGATATTCAATCCAAGAGTTTTGCAGAATCCATTCTTCATTTAGGCTGCAGACCTGATTGAGTCAAAGGTTTCTGAGGATTTTGCTTTCCTAATCTAACGCTGTGTAACATCTTTTGAGTGACTTGGGTGCATTCTATTTGATCATGAAGAGCCTTGTCAAGAGTTCAGAGGTTCCGAGTCCATAAGTAGCTGTCATTTCTCACTCTCTCAATGAGTGTCCAACACAAATGGTCCCTGAGATCTTGAATGATAGAGAAATGTCATGAAATTCAAGGGCTGACATCACTTACGGAGTTTATCTAGTCCAGATTGTATCATTTCAAAGATAAAGAAATTTGGGCTTAGAAAGAAGACATAAGTGGCCTGAGGCCAGACAGTAGCTAGCTGGAGCGCCGAGATTAGAATTCCTATCCCCTGACACCAAGCCCAGTAATCTCTCGACCTCATGCATGAATCATTTGATTTTGAACATTTGTCACCTCATCTAGAAGTTGCAGGGCTGAGAGGGATACGGACAGGCAAGTGCTGCTGTCATGACCTATGCATGCAAGAGAAAGGAGATATATACTGTTGAGTAACTAAAGTAGCTGAGTTTAAATGATTTTATTTTTAAAGTCATTAAGATTTGTATTTTCCCCTCTTTGTTTCAGGGGTGTATAGATTGAACAAATGAAAGTATTTATGTGATTTTAGTGATAAGCCCCATGTGCTTTTATTAACTTTGTTTTATGTTAAAACGCCACAACCGCAAGGTAAAATGCATATTGTATGTTGTCGGATATGTAATTAACTGGTACGTGTTCCATGCCTTTGGACACTGCCATATGAATTCCAAAGGTTTTATATGTTAATGTATTTCATAGATATAACTTAATAAACTGGCATTGAAAGCTGATGGATTTTGTCAATGAAGTCAATTATTTGTGTCTATTTGTTCATTTATTTTTCTGTATTAGGACCTAAGGGAAGCCTCTTGGGATTTTAGAAGTACACCTAGTCCTCTGTGTTCCTCAAGGCAACTGATTTCCACAGATTATAATAAATCTTAGTTTTAAAAATTGATTGTGAATCACCAAAGATTGTGCCACCCTGGTCAGATGATGAGAAGGGAGACCAGGAGAGAATGTATTGGGTCCCTTGTACAGATTAGGGTGCTATAATCAAGTGGCTCAATCTCATCATGAGCAATCCTGGAAAAGACAACAGAAGGCCAAAGAGAGTGCAGGAGCACTTGTTGGGGCCGGAACTGGTCCCAGTGTGTCTCTGACACTGGAACTACTGCATCACATAAGAAAGCCATTGGCAGAAATCAAGGAGATGCAACACATCTATCTCTGTCCACTTTACAGAGCGGTATCTGGAACAGGATTGCTGTTCCTTTCATATCTGAGGGTCAAAATAATCACATTTCAGAAATTTCATTTGTTTGAACCTAATAGCCATGGATAGAATCGAAAGGGGATAAGACTTGCCTGTAAAACATTAGCCTCAAAAATTTTCCTTCCCAGTGGGAAACCTGAGGGTATATTGATGTCTTTCTAAAATTCACTATTCGCATTAGCTTGCACCCACACCTAAGAGTGATAAGAGCAAAATATTCTTCATACTTGCAGCAAGAAATGAATTGTTTGTTCTAAATTCATTAAAAACTACTTATCTGCCAAAATCAGTATGTCAGTTTTCCAGGTGAAAAGTACTGATAAAAGTCTAATCTAGGTAATCAAAATTTTAATCAATTCTCAGAAGTTGCATCCCTCAGAACTATAGAGCAAAGAGGAAAACTATTCCATTGCCTCTCTCGATGCTGGTGCAGTGTCCACAGAGGAGTTTAGTACCCAATTAAAGCCCAGCTAACATTCAGTCAAAATGCACAGAGGTGGTGTACCCTCGGATTCCCCTGGACCTGATTCTGACTGACTGATGCTGATTCCACATTGGTTGTCAGATATTTTGACAACTATCCTTATTTATATTGCTTCTACCCATGCATTGTCTCAGGCACCATCATAATTATAGACAATAACAATAATTACATCCCAAAATGGAATTTTAGAAAATACAATGAGTCAAGAGGCAGAAGAGTCATGTTTTATGCCCACATTTGCCAACTTTCAAACTGTGAGGCCTGGCTAAATATGTGTATAGGTTTCAGTTTTATCCTCTGATCAGAAAGAGATAACAATTCTATACCTACAGTACTCAAATTTCAAAGGAGCTTCCCTTTTTGAGTATGTAGAAGGACACTTGGGGTTTCTCCAAGAGAAAGCAAAATTCCCCATGTAACCTTACACTGCAAAAGCCTCCAACAAGCACATGAGAACTTTTCAATTCTTCAGTGCAGGAAAGAGAAAGGTAATTGGAGCCAACATGTGAATCTCAGGGCCTCGATGTTCCACATTGACAGTGTTCCTCATTCCCCACTGTGCCCATCAGGGACCTCTGACTGTGATGCTTGAGACCACAAAGACTGAAGGCTTTTTCTAGATCAGGAGCCATCAGTCAATGTGACCCACATCTCATCGACTGCGTTGCTGTTTCTCAGTTTGCCCACATCCTTACTGTTTGGCATTGGGCAAGTCATTTAACCTCTCTGGGTCTCAGGGACAATCTCCAAATTCACTTCCAGCCCTAAATTCTAGAGTCCCAGCTACACTATGCCAGAGTTATCTTTGTTCTAGTGTTCCATGAGTAAATCACTTCTTGCCTTTTAAGGTGACCTTTCACACAGAGCCCTCTTCACATCAAGCTGTCCATTTATCTGAGGAAACCATGATAGGCAATCATCTTTCAGGGAGCTCTGCCTACAGGACCCAGCAAAGAAAAGTGTTTGACTGGTTCCATGTCCATCTCTTTGCCCTTCAGAGCAATAGCTCTCAATTTGGCCTGCACATAGTGAGAACAGGGGTTAGGGACACAGTAAAATCTCAAGGCCCAGGATAAATCCTAGACTAATTAAATAATTAAATCAGAGTCTACAGTGGCACAGCCCAGGCAAAAAACAGCTAATTCCAATGTGTTGCCAGAGTCAAGAAACAGATTTTCAAGGCACTGGCATCTGAGGGAAAGGGCAAGGCTCTGAAGCTGAATATACCTGCATTGTGTTCTCTGCTCTGCCATGGTCTAGATGTGAGATCTCAGGCAGCTGAATTAGTCCATCTGCGCCTCACTTCCCTCATCTGCAAAGTGGCATCATTAAAGTACATGCTTCACAGTGCCCTTGAGAAGGCAAAAGGAGATAATACCCATAGAGGGGGGAGGAAATGATCCTTCCAGGGCTCCTGATCCATGCTCAATAAATACCAATAATCAGTATATCAGGAAATGACCTGGAAATTCTGTTCTCTGTATAAGAAAGCAACACCAACTAATGGACATTATAAAATTATAATGCAATGGTAAACAATGATTTGAGGACTTGGTCATTCTTTCTTTCAAGAGACAGTAAGTATTGTCAATGTGTCACGGTTTGGTGCCATGAATGACAGAGAGCTACTGGGCCCTTTACAATTCTGTTTATTGGGTTGAAGTTGGAGTGGGGTAATGTTATGATTTACATCTCAATGTCCCCCCAAAGCCTCTTGTGCTCTTAGGTGGGACTCTTAGGATGTGACTGGATCACTGGGGTATGATAATCCTCAGGGAATCAGTTCACTGTAAGTTGGTAGCTGAATGTGATGTTGGGAGGCGAAGCCTGGTTGGAGGGAGTGGGTCATTATGGGCGTGGCCTGGAAGGGTCTATCTCCCTCCCATTGCTCTTGATCTCTTTCTTGGTCCCTCGACTACCATGTTATGAGCAATTCTCCTCTGCCATGATGCCCTGCTTTGGAGCCAGCTCACTATAGGCGGAAACCTCTACAAACTGTGAACCAAGATAAACCTTTCCTTCTTACAACTGTGGGTATCAGATACTGTGTCTCAGTGATGAGAAAACAAATAAGACAGGGAGACAATAAAGGGACTACTAAGTGGTAAATTGTTATTGTGATAACTCGGACCCCGGAATAAAATTAAGAAATTAAAGAATTTAATTAAAGAAGTTAAAGAAATTAAAATTTGAGGAGCAAAGGCTTTATTTTAGGCCAGGCCTGGCGTCACAGTCTCCAGGAGCCAATTCGGAGACTACGTGGGCCTCACAGCTAGAAGTCAGGGCTTTTATCCTGTAAAAACCAAAAACAGCTGCTGGTCTCACAATGTAAAAAGGGGGGCTGGGGTGTACTATAGGACAGAAACGGCGCAATTACATTGGGAAGAGCAAAGTTCAGATAAGGGTTGGGCTAACAAGCAAGTTTCCCTGCATTCAAGCAAGTTTAGATTGGGCAAACATCTTTTTTTCCTTAGCAGAGAATAGAGAAACCTAGCAGTAATTAATAGCCCCTGTTAGCTTATTTTAGCACCACATCTGTTATTTGCAGAGGGCAACAATGGTTAACATATCAACTAGGTAAGATCTTACAATCTTTTACAGAGGAGAGCATTTTTTAATGAACAGCAAATTTTATTACAGATAGCCGAATGAGGGGTAGTGGAGGGGGTTACAGGAAACTGATACCTAAGGCTTTTACAGCCTTTTAGGAATTGAAACTTAACCTAGCTGGATAAAAAGGGGAAATGGGGAGGGGGAGGCCAAATGACACATACAGAACAGACAATGAGGTAAAACGGTTAGATTTAGGCTATAACAGTTATAAGTGGTATAAAGAAAAAATTGTGTATATATTCCACATTCCACAAGTGGCCCATAGCAAGCCTCTGCAAGTCCATTCTGCACGGTATGTTTTGTTTAGTTAACATCTGGCCATGTGTCTTCACAGTGTAATCACTGGTTGATGGCATGAATCACTCTGTGGGCACTGCTGCTTACTAGGACCTATGGGCCAAAGACCGAGGTAGCTGAGCACTGGTCAGCTGCCAGATGTCCCTGGGCCTAAGCAAACAATCAGGCATTGGATTCTGCTGGCCTGCCTGATGGCGAACACCTCATGAACCCCAAGGGTGCTGCTTTGTCCTCTCAGATGAGAAAGGCTTCTCTTGAGGCTGCAGCAGGGGTGGCTGATATCGCCCTAGGCACTCCCTGTTGGTTTTCTAGAATGACTCCCAACTATGTGCCAGAGAGCATTCCTGGTTTCTGCCTTGCTCTGGGAAACACAATCATATCTCAAAAAGCAAATCACCAGGGCATATCATTTCTCCCAAAAGCACCCACAGAGGAAGAGGACAGGGTCAGAATGAATGCAGAATGGAAGGAACTTAGACACATCACACAGCTGGTCCCAGAGCACGTGGTAGGATTGGCTCAGAGCTAGTGAGAAATGATAAGCCCTGTGCACCTGCCACAAAATGAGCCCAGGCAGCCACATTTAAGGTACTCAATTTTTATTCAAACTCATAATAATGTTACCAATCAGGGATCAGAACTTCCACTGTACAGCTGAATAAACTGAGGCTTGAGGTGGTGTTGTGACTTTTCCATAGTCCCAAAGGTCATGAGCTGTAAAGAAAAGACGTGTTGATTGCAAAAACTATGCTTTTTTGATTGTTAAATCTCTGTCCTGTGCTTCCCTGATGAAAAAGAAAACACACCAACAAAGAAAAGGAAAAGAAAAAAAAAACAGTCATGCAATAAAGCACCTCAGCTACAACACTAAGTATTTCACCTTTGTTCACCAATTGTTTTAACCTTACCAAAAAGTATTATTATTCCCATTTTATGCATAAAGAAACTAGGCTCAGAGAGCTTGAGAAAACTACTCAGTATTCCACATCTCGTGAGCAGTGGAACTCAGATTTTAGGGGCCTTCTAGTTCATATTTCTCACTCGAACATACGTTTTCCAACCTCATTGCCCTCAGCAGCCACTCCCAGAAAGTTGCTTCAATAAAAATCAGTCTTTCAATATTAAGCAGAAAGAATGGAAGCTAAAAAAAAAATTGCCCCAGGAGTACCAGGTTAATAATTAAGATTATTCATAAAACAGGAAAGCGACTCCTGATTTTATCAGCTAGATCCTCCCAGCAGTGTTCTGCAGCTTTATAAAATGAAGAAGGAAACTGAGAAGGGCGTACTGAAAAATCCTGGACATTTCCCTGTGTTTCCCCCATGGCCCTTCAAAGTGAATCCCAAAAGGTTAAATGTGGTTTCAACACAAGTGTGGGTGTCAAGTTTACAAAGGAAGGAAGAAAAAGACATTAATGGGGAAGTTAAGCTTTCTTTCAAAAAGAGTTTGTTGGATGAACTCTGAGCCCTCAATCAAAACCATGAGAGAGAGAAAAAAGAAGCCCTACTTAATACCAGACCAGCAGACTGAGGTCTGCTCTTCATTCTGCCATGTTCCCTTGGCCAGGTCATATAATAAAATGGTTGCATAATCATTCAAGTAAGCTTAAGCACCTACATCTAGCCACTGTTTTAACCTCTGCAAAAACAAAGATACTGTAAAGTAGACATTGGGACTTCTAGTGCTAGCCATGACAGAGTACAGCTAAAGGTCTTACCTTCCTGTTGTAATAACCATAAAACCAGGACAAAAAATAATATACTACTGTGATACTCTGGGGGAGATAAAAGTGCCAGATGAGCCCCCACAACTACCTCAGCTTTCTGGCTATGGAGTTTTCAAGCACTGGCCTGGCAAAGTGGAGCCCAGGAAGTTTTGTGAAGTATGTTAGGTTTGGGGGCTATGGAGGAGCTAGAATTTGGGGGGCATGGTATAAGAAAGAAAGATGCTATACAGAGAAGTTATAGAGATCTTCATGCATTTCCCTTTGGTTGAATGCTAGGCTTTACAAGTACAGAGTCACAGCATCAAATGGCTACAGGAGCTTAAGGGCTAAACAGAGACAACAGAAATCACATACCCCTGGAATTAGCATCAGTCAGAGGACAACAAGGTCATTTTAACTCTGGACATCCAGTTGAAACTCTGGAAAGGCCATGTTTAAGCATATGTTATACTACCGTACTACAGTACATCAGGCCCCATTCCAGCAAGTCCTTGAAACAAGTTCTTAGCAAGATCAAATATGCCAGAAAAAAAGAAAACTCTGTACTTTAAAGGAAGACAACAGGAATTCAACTCTGTGAAAAACATAACTTCTACAATATCCAGCACACAATTAACAATCACTAGACAAGGAAAGGATCCAAAAAATGTGTCATATGAGAGAAAACAGCAAAAACATACTCTACATTGTCAAAGCTGTTGGAATTAGAAGGTAAAGGCTTTTAAATATCTACTATATATTGAGTTTTAAATGAAAATATAAGTATCCCATGGAGACTCAGCAAATAAATGAAAACTTTAAATACAATCCAAATAAAATTCTAGCAATGAAAAGCACCATGTCAAAAATTTAAAATTTCATCAGATGGATTTAACATCCTAAAGTACACTGAAGGAAAAATATGGTGAATTTAAGACAGGATGATTAAAATATGCAGACTAAAAAATAAAATACCAAAAACTAAATTATAAAGAGAAAAATTTTCACAACCTCAGTGGCACTTGGGACAAAGTTGGATCCAATGTATTTTAAATTAGACAGCTAGAAAGAAACAGAAAAGAAACATGAGCAGAAAATATGCACAAAGAATAATGGCCAACATTTTACAAATTTAATGAAAAACAACCCACTGACCCAAGAAGCTCAATAAGCTACAAAAAGAATAAACTTTTAAAAGAAAGAAAACCAAATAAATTCCCATCATAGTCAAATGAATGAAAAAAAGGAAAAAAATCTTAAAAAGCAGCCAGAGTGGGGGGAAAGATACATTACATTCAGAAAAACAATGACTTCTAACTTTTTAACAGAAAAAGTAAAATAATCTCTTTGAATTACCAAAGGAAAAAATAAATTAACCCAATTCTGTCCTGAGGGAAACTACCCCTCCAAATTAAGAACCAATCACGAATGCATATTGCAAATATGTGAGGCCTGGGGGCCACCAACATAAACCATAACAGCAAGATTTCTCTATTTGGTAACTACTGCTATGTCGGGTTATCTTGTGGTGAAACACTATGTTGCTTAAATTGTTCTGTTCTGACCTATGTTGTTATGTTGTTAGGTCCTCTTTTATCTTAATCTCCTTTTTTAATTTTTCTTTTTAATAAAAAAAAGATTTCTCTATTTGAGGAAAGAAAATATTGATATATGAGATGTGACCAAAACAAATGATGAACTTTTTCTTCTTGTTTTGACTTATTAACTGTTGCTTTTCTCAGTTTTTATTTTTATTAGTACATATTCCAGTACATAACGACTACATTCCTTGTTGGGAGTTGTTACACATACTTGCTGCATCTAATATTATGGTAAAAAAACTTTCTGTGAAATCCTCCCCCTTGCTTTGAAACATTTGTCCCATTGTTCTTGTCAGATTCCAAAGCAGTTCTGGAGGCTCTTGTGTCTTTTGTTGCACTGTCACTGCTGCCCTGATGTTCTGAATCAATTCAAACATTCATCTTTCAGGGTCGCCTTGATTTTGAGAAGAGCTGGGAGTTGCATGGTACCAGATGCAGTGAAGAAGGTAGACGCAGGCACACTAGAATGCTTTTACAAGCTTTTCCTTCTGTGGATAGCACGCAGAGGCAGCATTCACTGTTTTTTTCATCATACCTTGGTAAAGATACTCAGGAAAGAAGACTTCCAGAATTGCTTTAAAAAGTGGCAAGAACAACGGGATAAGTATGTTCAAAGCTAAGGGGAGTACTTATTAATGGCAATGTGTCTTTTACTATAATAAATGTGTCTTTATTGACATTAATGGGGATTAGTGGCAATGTGTTTTTACTACAATAAATGTTTTTATTTAAGCATTGACTGTGTATCTTGATCATTCCTTGTATTAAGCAGGGAAATGATGGTGCTTCTAAATAAATGAAAAGAAGTGTCAAGTGGAAGGGATGCTGACTGCAAAGATTTAATTATACTCCTAGAAGGTGTCACATATCTCAACTGGAGTAATTGAGCGCTTGGAACCCAGGACTAACCCCCAGATTGAGACCTCTCCCTAATTCCACAGCTCCTAAACCACTAGTTGAAGAATGTTCAGATCCTGAAAGACTGACTCTGGAGTCCATGCAGTAAGCCAGTCTGGATTCCTGATAGCTGGACTATCTTTGTGTGCAGGTTCCAGTGGCCTCTCCAGAAGCTCCTAGGGGCTCCTTAGGCCATAATTCCTGCAGTGGCTCTTTTAGGGCATATCACTCTCACAGTTCAGCAGTTAATGCAACTCAACAGCAAGAATGTACCCTAGTTGCAGCCTGCAGCCTCATAGAGAAAGTCTTCTAAGACATAAGGAACAGAAACCGGATCCCTCATGGTCACCAGCAACCTGTAGTGAGCCTGCTGCTCTCCAGATGGCTTTCTGAGAGCATCCCTTTCATCCACGCATGTATCAATACCTATTCAAAGAGGCCATTTCCCTGATCAGCTTCCTCATGTGGCTTTTTCTGATCTCTTTCTCTAGCATGATCTCTTTTTTTCTTCACACTTCTTTTGTTCCCTTAACATCACTTAGTGGTTTTTGAAATGTGTTTATAAGGCACACCTGACTTTTCAGTTCTCAACCCCAGCACCTAGCTTAGGTCCTTGCACAGAATAGGTGTGTAATGAAAAAGTGCAGAATGAGGAAATACTCTCCTGGAAAAAAATTTGCTAAAAGAAAGAATTTAGATACCATACCATACCTCTTTAAGGGTGAGTATTGGCTCACTTCATAGCTTTTGATTATAAAAAATATTATGTTAAATATTATGCTGAAATTGAAGATTTTGCTTCTTGGTCATGAAATCTAAAATATTTACTACCTAATCTTTTACAAAAAAGTCTGCCAACTTGCACCCCTTGTTGAAAACTATTGAACAATGTTGAGAGAAGTTAAAGGCCTAAAAGACTAGAGGTGTTTACTTTTGCTCAGGTTGGAAAATCAATATTGCTAAGATGTCACAGTTTGCTATTACTGATTGATAAACCCAATGCCATCTAAATCACAATCCTAGTAGGCTTCTTTGGATTAAAAGTCAATAGGTTGATTTAAATTGCATAATGAATGGCGCAGGACTTAGAATATCTAACACCATATTTTGAAAGAACATCTTTGAAGAATTTATCACATTTTAAGACTTAAGGTGAAATTATCCAGACAGTATGGTATTGACACAAAAACAGATAAGCAGACCAGTGAAATACAGTCCAAAAGTACTCTTCATTTATACCTTCAATTCCTTTTTTAAAAGGCCAAAATGATTCAAAGGAGGAAAAAAGTCTTTTCTACAAATTGTACAGAAACAACTAGATGTGTATATAAAGTAATGGCATCAATCAAAATTTTATTTGAAACAGATAATAGATCTAAACGTAAAAGTCAAAGTGGAGGATCCTATCTTCCCAACCCTGGGATAAACAGAAATATTTTAGCCAGAACACAGAAGATGCTCACCAGAAAAGATTTCAGACTATATCGAAAACTCTTACAGCTGAATTTTTTCAAAAATCAGTCAACCCAAAAGGGAAATAGGTAAAAATTTGAATATATATGTCACTGAGTATGTCCCATAAATGGCCATTGAGCACATGATACAGTTCTTAAGAACATTAGTCATTAGAGCAGTGCAAATACCACCACCATGAAGAACCTACTGGCAAATATTAAAAACATTGACAGTACCAAATGTTGTCCAACACTTGTGGCCATTGTAAACTCTCACACATTGCAGGAAGGAGTGTTAATGGAAAAATGTTGACAGTTTCTTTGTCAGTTATATATCCACCTATGACCATTATTTCTATACCTAGGTATTTACCTATTCTATAAAAGCTTAAAATATGGCCCCAGAAAGTATTTACAGAAAAGACTTATTTATAATAGCCAAAAAATGGACAAAACCCAAATGTCTAAACTTCAGTATACTCATACTGTATGATACTGTTCAAAAACAGACTGTGTGAAAAATCAAGACCCAAAAGAATAACACAGTATGAATTCATTCACATGAAGTTGTAGAATAGGTTGAATTATTCTGCAATGAGAGAATTTAGAACAATAGTCTCCTGCAGGAAGAGGAGAGTCAGGGACTGAGGAGAAATAGAAAAAAACTTTCAGAGGGCTGGGGATTTAGCCCAGTGGCATAAGCACCTGCCTGGCAAGTGCAAGGTCATGAGTTCGATCCCTGGTACCAAAAAAAAGAAATAACTTTCAGGAACAAATATCAATAGCCTAATAGGAATGTGAATTACATAATACTTGTCAAAACTCATCACAATATACACTTAGATCTATGTATTTCTCTATAGGTAAATTACACTGCAGTTTAAAATAAGAAAAAGACCTTGACATTGTCACCACAAAGGTCACACTGTAACTTGCAAATTGCTTTAGAACATAGATGGGATCCTTCCTTAGCATCTCTCCACTCCATCTCTGCAGCTCTCTTCCTGCACACTAGCTGAGGTTCAATCACTGCTTTTAGCCTGTCCTGCCTAGCAATCAACACCTCCAGTGAGTCCCTCACACAACAGTCAGTGATTGCTCAGAAATTGGAAAATTCCACTGTCACTTTTTATTGCTTTTTAAGATAAATTCCCTCCCCCAGGCATGACCCCTTGTGACCTACTGCTTGTATACTTACAGCTCTTTTTGCAATCTGTCTTAAAGTCCATTTGACTCGCCTATATGTGAGTTAACAATTGCTCCCTCTTTCTTCAGTATTCACACACACGCATACACACACACACACACACACACACACACGCACCTCCTCACCCAGCCCACTCCTCTTCATTCAGATCTTGGGCAAGAGTTTTCGACATGTTCTATATCCTTCTCCTCCTCCACTACCACTACTGCATTAGAGGCCTACTCTGTGCTTCTGTAAGCGGTTCCCTGTATTAGTCAGCTTTCTCCCCTATGACAACATATCTAAAATAAACAACTTGCACACCGGAAAATTTTATCTTTACCTCATGGACACTTGACCCATGAGTTGCTTTGGGCCTGTGGTGGCACTGTACTTCATGGTGCCAGAGGCACAGGGCAGAGGAAGAAGTTTCATTTCATCACTGCTGTGACACAGAAGAAGAGGCTGTGGTCCTAGTACGGCCCCAAAACCTAACTTCCTTCTAGTAGTTTCCACTTTCGGAAAGTCCTACCACTTTCCAATCAAGCCACAGTTTGATGACAGGCCTTTAATATATGGCATTGGGGAGGAGCAAGATCTAAATTATAGACTCCAATTGCTTCATATAGGCATATTGTGATCGAATTTTAGTGCCTGTATTCATCAAATTTTAGGTTAGTATTCACCAGACTGTGAATTTGTGAAGGCAGGAAATGTGTCAAATTCTTTGTGCCTAGATCAACAGTGGCACACAGTTACACATAATGCGTTCTCAGTGAATCATCAGATAAATCATAACAGTAACTTAAAAATAACCACAGGCTTATAATTAAGGTACAAGAGCTCATCTTTCTAACAAGACACCAGATCACCAAACCAACCAAAACTGGGAGTTGGAGAATGAATTAACGAGGCCTGTTCTTTCTCTTAAAGTGGGAGCTAGAATCCCTGCACATTAGATTTCCTGAGAATGCCGTGAAGGAAAATGTACCTCCCAAGCCTGACTTATAAAAATACATCCACTGTGCGTTCAGAATTACTAACCCAAAACTCTCTATCGTGTGACATTTGGACAACGGCCCAGCACATGAACCAGAGGTGTGTCCCTAAATATCGCCAGTGATGATCTCCAGCCTGCCCTTGGACTCAGCATAACAGATTTAAGCCCTTCCAAGTGCTTGATTCATAGACCACTCCAAACAAATCTCAGAAGAATATGAGTCCCTGAGGATTTTGCTCTAAAGAAAAATTTTTACTCTAGTCAATTAGAAGGCAAAGTGTGGAGCATCTTTCCAAATGAAGTTTTACTGTGACTATAAATCTTAGAAAAAGCTCAGCAGTGGATAAACTTTGGTGGGTTTTTTTTGTTTTTGTTTTGGCTTTTTTTCGTTTTTATCAGTACCAGGGATCGAACTCACGACTGCCTGCTTTCAAGGCAGGTGCTTATGTCACTGAGCTAAATCCCCAGCCCCAAGCAGTGGATAAACTTTGGAAAGTCAAAAACTGGAACCAAACTAGGGTTCTGCTCTCATCTCCTCACCTGCTGAGAATCTGTGGGCAATGAGTTCTAAGATGTGTAAGTTCTACCTGCTACATAACCATGGGCAACTCCTCAGAGCCTCAGCCACATCATTAGTCAAATAATAAATTAGTCAAATATAAAATAGTTATGCCTACTCTTTCAGTTACTTTGAGTGCTAAAGAAGTCCCACGTGTACTATTTAGCACACTCTAAGGCCTCTGAGAACATTATCCAGGGCTATCTTTATCCTCGAATTCTACTTCCATGCACTAAACACCAGCTAGTATTTTCATGCCTTTCTCCTTATTAGTGCAAAATAGTCTCCTCTCTTTTGCTCCTTTTTCTCCTTTTTTCCCTTTCACAGCCTTGTTGCCTTTTCTCTCCACCACTGCTGTGAATTGTTGCCCCTGTGCCATATCAATCATCCTTGGAGCCAGCTGATTATGGACTGAAGAGTCTACAAACTGTGACTTAAGTAAATCTTTCCTTCCTTAAGTTTGGTTGTCAGGTATTTTGTCTTTGAATAAGAGAAAAGAAACTAAGACAGTTCTCATTATTCAGTTCATGCATGCTTAATAAAGATGTTTTCACTTTACTCAATTAAGGCCCTTTTCCTCTCAACCTTGCTGATTTAATATTCTTAAATGTTGAGAAGTTAGAATATTTTTAAAAGCACCTTGATAGCATTCATTTTAGCCAAAGCAACTTAATTCAATAGATGCATATTTTTCATAGAGTGGTGTGTCACAAAGGCTTGTATTTATAGCAGAAGATAATGAATTCCCTGCTTCTAGAACTTCAAAGCAATAATCACTCTGAGTCTTAGATGCTCTCCAAGACATATTATACATGCATATTGTATAATGCAAATTCAACAACTTGTTGAAGTACAGAAGACAATGAGGTGTGGAGCTATGGTTTCAATGAATTAATGGCAGAGCTTTCGTTTAAATGAAAAGTGAAAAGGCTTTGAAACTGCAGCAGTCTGTGGGCAAGATCCTAAGCTATCATTACTTGCTGGGAAAACAAAGAAACAAGTTAGGTCTCCGGGACTCTGTTGGCCACTCTGGTGCATTATTGTTGGAACCTTGGAAGGTTTCAAACAGTGCTTTTAAAAGAAAAAAAAAATGTGATCTGAAGGTGTTTCCATCCTTTGAGGGTACAGATAAGTGTTGCCCACACCATATGCCCAGTAAATGGAAAACAAAATTACCCACCTATGTAAATAGTAGCCCCATTGAAGCAAAAACTGGTTTTGTTCTCCATTAATTGTTCTGCACAGCTGAGCCATCCAGTTTCTACCAGCTGGTTCTATTTTAGTTTTATAAAGAGAAAAAAGAAAAATCAAGAAATAAACCTAAAAAATAACAGTAACAAAAACAAAATGATAACTACAACAACAACAAAAAAACATTAGCTATATATATTTCAAAACAAGATGATAGGAATTTAACAATGGTTGTTATACTGCATATTGTTATCTTCAAAATATTTGCTTGTTACCAGTTATAGAAATAAAACAAAACAGTTAAGTGGAACAAAACATTGAATTTTCAAAACGAGACAGGAGAAAATCCCAGTTGCTACAGTGCACACTGCCTTCCTCCAAATAAATGCCCAGACCACCAGCTCAGGCCTGCAAAGTCCATCAAACAACACAAGCATAGAGCTCTTCCTTTCACCTCAGCTGCTATCATCTCAACCTGAGTCCTCTGAATCAGCCCGTTGCTTCCCCGAGGTGGAGGAGTGATGTGCTTCTGGTTTCCCACTGGCTGGCTTAGGGGAAGATGTGGTTTGTCTTTGTGCTGGGTCTCTTCCTGTTCTCCATGGCAGACCCTAGTTCACAGGAAAGTGTGTTTCGGCTTCTTTGTGAGTCTCTTCCCACCACCAGCTGACTTTCAAATCTTATTGTGATTAGGATGGGTTTACACTGTACAAAACAGGAGTAAGACTCCTCTGATACAGAGACAAGGGAGAAATTCCTGGAGCCTCTCTCACACAATGCAGCCTCCCTCACCAAAGCAACCTTCCCTAGCTTTCTTCACTTGTTTAGTGAACACAATCAGGAACACGTGTAAAATAAGTGAAAGGTATGGTACGTGTGAGAGGACTTTCTGAGATCATATGACTAAACAAAATTTGCTTGTATGAAGGGTAAACCTGGTAAAGTGGGGTGAAGGGCGGATTTAGAAGGTTATAATAAGATAAAAAGGACAGGCATTCCAGTTAAGACAATAGTCAAAAATGCAGGAAGGCGAGGTGCTGAATATTAGGGGGAAAGATAGGTTTACTGAGAAGAGCTATTGGCATGGAGCAGCAAAGTTGTGACAGTTACAGTAATCTTGGTCAGGTCAACTTGATTGGCTTTGAGAGCTGCCCAAGGGATTGGTGGAGCGCACTTTTAAGTTTGTCCAAGTGAACCATGGAGGCTTGATATTTGGTCCCCTCTCGCTTCCTCTTGGGTACGGCTGTTGCCCTGCTCTGTGCTCTAGAAAGCATGAACTAAGACATTTTGCACCACCACATGCATCCACCATAATAGTCCTGCTTCAGAGCCAGCAGACTATCAACTGAATGAATTCTCTGTAGGTGAGCTAGGTTAAACCTCTCATCTTTTAAACTGTGGGTATTTGGTTTCAGAACAGAAAAGTTAACTAATACCAAAGTCCAAAGTGACAGATGGAGCTAGGCTGGACTTCCTGAGTTCAGGCTTTATTGTGAGGGTTATAAGAGTCACTGAATATTGTAAGGCAAAATAATGTTTCTGGAAAATTACTTGCTTCCTGTGTGCTTCCTGGCCTGATGATTCATTATGCTTTTGATGTATGGTCACACTTTATTATATGTGGCTCAAAGGTAACAGAAAAGAATCAAGCAATGAAAAGAAAAATGCTAATTCAATGAATAACCGTGGCATGCCAGACATTTTTAGAAGTCCTGGAGATATCATAGTGAGCAAGGGAAACGAAGTATGTGGTCTTGTGGAGATAACCACATCAGGAGGAAACTGTTAACAAACCAACCACTACATGGGAAAAATGTACAGTGATTGTGTGGGCAGAAAGAATCATAGAGCACCAAAAGAGAGACAACTCTGAATAGAGAATAACTAATATAAAGGCTTTAAAATATGAATGAGTCTGAAGTGTTCAGTGAGCCAACAGAAAGCCCAAGAAGAACGGGCAGGAAAGAATGCAAGAGGAGAGAAGAGGAGAGCAGATAGTTGGGGACATATCTTGTAAACTGGAGAGGGAAAAATAATTGCCTAAATGTAATCAAAATTCCTTGCAAGTGAGCAAGGTAATGACAAGATCTCAATTAACTTCTCAAAGACCTATCTACCTGAAGATTAGAGAACAGACTTAGAGGTACAAGAGTAAAAAGGAGGACATCAGCTGGGAGATTGCTTTGCTGAGAACATGGGTCTGAATAGGTAGAAAAAAAATGTGTTTTAAGAAGCGATACTACTGGATGGCCACACAAGGTAAAATTGAAGAAGTGAGAAGTGAGCAAAGAACTTGGCAACATGAAAATCACCAGCATGCACACAGGGTTCTTTCAAAGCTCCTGCAAACAAACAGGTATTCTCATGGGTCATACAGGACTCACCCCCAGTAAATTCTCCAAATTAAATTTTGAGACCTAAGGCAAAACTTTCTGGATTAGATCAAACCAGAAGTCTGTAATGATAGGGTTAGAATTTTTTTATCAGTGTTTTAAAGGGTCTGGAATTATGGAAAAAGTCATTAAAGGTTTATAATGGAAGGAATATGTGCTTTAAATTTCCTAAATATTCAGTTTTTATTAGGCCAGATAAAGGGCAAGGATACAGTTATTGCCCTGACAGACTTGATGTAGGCAGTTTCATGAGTCAGAGCCTCACAAGGTTGACTTTTTTTTTATATAGAACCTAGTAAATCCTCTCTGATGGTTTAGAACTAACATGTCTCCCAAAAGTCCCATATATTCAGAGATGTAGGCTTCAGGGGTGACTGGGTAATAGGAATACTGTACCCATCAGTGGATTAGTCCATGAACTAATGACATTCTAACTTCTGCTTTACAAGCAGCTACGGAATGAACCCTCTGAAGACATGAGCCAAAATGAACCTCTTCCTTCTATTGTGGGTGTCAGGTATTCTTCCTCAGCAATTGGAAAGCTAACTAATTGAGAAAATTTGTACCAGAGAAGTAAGGTTCATTGCTTTGACTGTATTTGATCATTTGGTTCAGGTGCCTTTGGAAACAGTTTGCAGAAGTCTGGAAAGGACTAGAGATAGGCTATAGAAGAATGGGAATGCTAGAACAAGTCAGAATCTCCCAGAAACTCAGCCATGCTGGAAGTTTGGGGACCAACCAAGAAAGCAATGAGCAAGCCTTCCCAGAAAGCAGTGCAAGCCACAGGTGTGCCAGAGATGGAAAAAGTCAGTGTCTCCCATGAACCTACCAGAACACAGGCTGAGAATCAAACACCCTGTGTCTCTGTCTACCTACCTCTCCCCCCATTAGCAACTGGATGATTTCAAAGTCAGCCTGAGTTGATAGCAGCTAAGGTACACAAAGCAACCAAATGCTTGTATTGTTTGACTGATTATGCTGACCTGGAGCCAGAGGTCTGAGCATCTCTTGGAAGGATGACAGTATGCAGTATAGCAAATATGGAGAATTTCCTTTCTAGCTCATTTTTGAAGACCAATATTGTTTTCACTGTTTTGCTCTGATTGTTTTTCTTTATTCAATTTTCTGTTTTGACTGGCTTTATAGTGTTCTGTTTTAAGTTTGATTTGGCTATAACTGATTGAATGGACAACTACTGTGAAGATAAAAAGATATACCATGGTACCTATTATTGTTATCACAGTATCCTGCCCTGAAGTTCTGCACCAGTTTCTCTGAGTTGTTTTGATTGGCTTTGTTCTGTCTTATTTTGCTGTATTTTATTATCCATAAAATAAAAGAAGAAGAAGAAGAAGAAGAAGAAGAAGAAGAAGAAGAAGAAGAAGAAGAAGAAGAAGAAGAAGAAGAATGCTGTAAGCAGAGAATGATAGATAATTCTGGCCAAAGCTTAGACCAGAATGCTGATGGGGAATATGGACAGTAAAGGCCATTAGGCTTCAGTTTGCAGATTGCAATGAGAACTTTGTTGGACATTGAACTAGAGACTATGTGTGTTATACCCTGAGGAAAAAAATGAGTCTATATTTTATCCATGTCCTAATACTTCATGAATTTAGATAAAACAAACTGACCAAGGCATCCCAATGTTCAGCCTGTGGCATGGGTATGATTGACTGCTTTTAGCCAATTTTATAGTGATCATTGAAAAAATGAGCAAAAGTATTTGAAAATTTTAAATTTTGGCCTGAAAAGAATCACATGTATAGTTGAGGGTCAAAGGAGTTGAGGTTGGTAAAGAAATTATAATTATTAGCAAGAAGCAAGTACTTTGGACTGGGGCAGGAGGCCTTGAGGATGCCACAGAAACTAGCAAGATTCCTCCCATGGCAGACTAATAGGTGAAAAGTGTGAAAATTTTATCTAAAAGAAAGCCCATAAGCCCTCTGCTAGGGAAGGACCATACAGGAAACAATTCCCCAAGATTCATTTCAGCCATCCAGGCACTCAGAAGCTCAAAAGACCTGACTACTCCCCAAGCTGGTGGCAGACCTCAGCATCATCTGCATGATGCTTGTTTTTAGGTATGTAAAATGCAAAGATTGTGGGGGGGTCATAGAAACTTCCATCCAGATTTCAAAGGAAGGACTGGGAAGCCAGGCAAGGAGCTCCAAAGACATCAGTGCATGACGCTATGGGAATGAAGCCAAAGATGCATTAGTGACCCAAGGAAACCAACGATGCCAGGATGCTTAGGAAAACAGCAAGGCAAGACCAAGAGAGAGGCCAGCAGGCTGCAGCTAGCAAGGTCATAGTGGTGGGGCTGTCCAAGCTCTTTTGAGTTCATGTCTCACTAAAATGGTCTCTTACAGAGTCCAATGTGCAGGCAGCCCAAGATGACCATTAACTATAGAGTGACGACTATCTAGAAGCCATACTTTTTTAGCAGTTTACAAGATGGAGGTCTTTCCTGCTTGAAAATATCTTACCTATTAGTTTTGAGAAGTCATTTATTAGAGACTCTTGTGATAAAGATGGTAGTGACCAAGTTAAGTGTCTGGTCAGGTATTATAGGTGGTGGAGGGAGTATAGTAACTGGGCCTGGTACTGTAACATTTGGTCATGTTCTGCTTAGAACAGAGACGATGTGTTCTAGATTAAGATGCTGAACACAAACATTTCTGGGCATGTGCAGT